TCTGGGATTTAATGAAAGTAAGTCTCACTCCTACAGAGCACAGTGAAGGGCTGGTATTTTGATAAGGACACTTCATGTTCCACAGAAAACTGCAGTGAAGGTCATTTTTTGATGATAATGATTCCCTCAGGTTGGTAAATGTCAGACTGCCCACTGTGCTTGTGGATGGATGGATCCTTAGTGGAAGATGAAGGATGGGTTTTACTGCAAAAAATACATTTCTTCTTATCGCTGATTGTACTGTGTGAACTTAGTTAACTGACTGCAGTAACTGGTAAGCAGTGTGTGTACAGTATGTGTGTGCGTTCAGTGTTAATTTAATTACATTTTTATTTAACCTTTATTTAACCAGGTAAGGCAGTTGAGAACAAGTTCTCATTTACAACTGCAACCTGGCCAAGATAAAGCAAAGCAGTGCGATAAAAACAACAACACAGAGTTACATATGGGGTAAAATAAAACATAAAGTCAAAAATACAACAAAAAATATATATACAGTGTGTGCAAATGTAGCAAGTTATGGAGGTAAGGCAATAAATAGGCCATAGTGCAAAATAATTACAATTAGTATTAACACTGGAATGATAGATGTGCAAGAGATGATGTGCAAATAGAGATACTGGGGTGCAAATGAGCGAAATAAATAACAATATGGGGATGAGGTAGTTGGGTGGGCTAATTTCAGATGGGCTGTGTACAGGTGCAGTGATCGGTAAGGTGCTCTGACAACTGATGCTTAAAGTTAGTGAGGGAGATAAGAGTCTCCAGCTTCAGAGATTTTTGCAATTCGTTCCAGTCATTGGCAGCAGAGAACTGGAAGGAATGGCGGCCAAAGGAGGTGTTGGCTTTGGTGACCAGTGAGATATACCTGCTGGAGCGCATACTACGGGTGGGTGTTGCTATGGTGACCAATGAGTTAATAATGAGCCGGACAATTATTCTGAGGATTGGGTGTGGATTAACTCCTGTTGACCTTGGTGATTGATCAACCTTTGAGGGATAATCAGAAAAGCTTGCCCTTCAAATGAAAGGAAGGACTCTTCACAAAACCTGACTGCAGTATGTTATACAACAACAGAGCCAGCAACTAAAGATAACACTTATTTGAGCCCCTCTAGTGCCCCTACTAAGTGCACCTTCTGTTGTGGTATGACATACTGCACTATGGACAAAACTATTGAAATACACAACAGACAGATTAATCTCAACCGCCAACCTGGTCTCAGAGCATTGGTTCTGTATGTAAATCAGAGACGCTCCATTTAGTATGATGTGTTACGTTTCGTATGGTATGTATTAATTTGTGGATGTCCATCATCCATTTTGTATGATATGAATTTCAATTCATATGATATGTTACAAATGGCAATTCGTACAATATGTTATGAATTTGCGTTACGTATGATATGTTATGAATTGTAGCCAAAGTTAGCTAGGCTAGGGATTAGGGTTAGGAGTTAGGTTAAAGGTTTAAGGTTAGGATTAAGGTTAGGGTTAGGATTTAAGTTAAAGGGTTAAGGTTAGGGTTAGGGGAAGGGTTAGCTAACATGCTAAGTAGTTGCAAAGTAGTTAAAAGTAGTAAGTAGTTGCAAAGTTGCTAATTAGCTAAAATTGTCCTTGATGAGATTCAAACACGCAACCTTTGGGTTGCTAGACATTCGCGTCCACCCCAACCAACCACCCTGCTTTCGTTTTTTCCTTAAGTAATCTTCTGTCTTATGTAACCATACAAAACGTAACATATCATACTAATTTGAGTGTCCTGGATTTACAGTCTAGTCTATGAGATCAGGCTTCAACCGCCCATAGCTGTTCAATGTACATTGTAATTACAGTACATTACATGTACTCAAATGAAATGAAAGGACATTTTCCAACACAACTCTAAAAAGGTAGCTAGCATTACCTTGCAGGTGTTCCTGTTTGAGCCCGGTGGGCTTACAGCAGGCCAGCCCCATTCCCATGCTTCACTGAGGGGAGCTGGCAGTGCTACAGCTGGGGCATGAACGGGGTACACGCTGCGCTCCTGGAGGTCGTATATCTTTATCCACAAGCAGGTACTACTGGGCAGACGGTGCCAATGAGGCATGGCTCGATGCCAGGAAAAACAAAACCCGAAAAACAAGTCCCTTATTTTTCATCCATTCACACTGTCCCCCATTCACTAACATGGGCAACAGCAAATCCCTCTATCCCCTGGCTCCCCTATGGAGAGGCAGGTCCCAGAGGAAGAGCTAAGCCCTCCTTGTGTTGCCTTGCTCTCCCTCCCTGGCTGTGTGCAGCTGTGCGTGGAGTGACTGGAAGATGGGCTGCTCTTCCCTTCCTTACCAAACAAACCTCCACCGTCCCCACACACACTCTCTAGAAAAACAAACAGACCCTGCTAATCAATCAGGAAGCCTCTGGCTGGCCATATATGTGATGGTGATCTATAGTATGAGTCTAAACCACAATGTACTGTATCAATGTAATGATGTTGTTGGATCACACGCTGCTGTAGGCTAACTAGTCCTGTGGTGTTTTCCCTTCGCCTTAACTGACCAGAAAGAGTGGTGCGTGTAGGTTTGTTAATAGGGTCCTCAAGACCCATCTATAGATCCATGGAAATCCTCCAGCACTAATTCCTCTGCAGCTCAGTTGGTAGAGCCTGGTGCTTGTAACGCCAGGATAGTAGGTTCAATTTCCAGGACCACCCATATGTAAAAATGCAGGGGCGCAACTTTGGTTTTAGAAGTGGGGAGGACATATTATTATTATTTATTTTTTAAACACTCCAAAAATCCTACCCGACCGCTCAGAGGCGTCCGCATGGTCCTAAAGCACACCGTTGACTCGTTTTGTATCACATTCCAACGATAAAACTGCGGGGGGCAAAATTGCAATTTCAGAATGTGGAGGGAACATGTCCCCCCTGTCCCCAGTGAAAGTTGCGCCCCTGTAAAAATGTATGCAAGCATGACTGTAAGTTGCTTTGGATAAAAGTGTCTGATAAATGGCATATATTAATTCCAGCATGCTGCCCGTAGACATGGGACTTAGATTGTTTCCATTTCTTTGGCAACACTATCTGGGGTCATGTAAGCAGAGCTCACACTGAAGCTCAGATGAAATGTAGGTATGCATTAATATTGTCTACTTTTTAAACCTGGGTCACATTACTCAAATAAACAAAGTCACAAACATATCAGAATCGCGTCATTTCACACAGCAATTACCCATAGAGACTTTTAAGGATCTTGTTGTGGTCTATCCCTACTCTCTCTTCTGAGTCAGCCTGGTCTGTAAGAAATGATCAGACAGACATTCAGCACTGACAGCAAGCTGAATTCAGAGCAGAAGTACTGTAAGTCTTTAGAGAGGAGGACTGTCCCTTTGTCTAAAACTTTTACCTGTGTGCTTTATAAAACCCATGGATGTTGCATGTGTAGGGGAAGGGAATAGACAAACATATATTTGATAAGGCTGAACTTAGTTAAATACTCTGTGGGAGAGCTGGGGGCAGGGGACAGGCTCCAATTGTGTGTGTGTGTGCGTGTGTGAGTGTGTGTGTGTGTGTTTGCACGTGCACTGGCTAAACAAGTAGCCTGCAATAATTAATTAGCTGAAGTGGTCACGTTTACCCAGGCTTGTGTGTTAGTGTGTGTGTGTGTGTGTGTGTGTGTGTGTGTGTGTGCACCATCCTTTCCTGGCTGTTGTTTCCCAGCTGGCTTTATGGCTAGAGACCAACACAAAAGGAAGCTTAGCCTTGAGTATCCCCCTTAAGCACAGAGAGCAATTAAAAACCACAGATTATTACAACTGTTTCCTTACTCTGATAGGCTTTCAGTCATAGCCGTATACTTTCAGTTGAACCAAAATGGATTGTTGGATTTGGCTGTGTTTTGGTTCATTGCTTGCTTTCTAGGTCCCAAGAATATTACAGTTACAATAAGCAGGATATTTGACCTTGAAAAGGTGTGAGGCCTCCCAAACGAGTTTAATAACCCTTGGATATGAGGACAGAAGAAATGCAATTAGAGATGTTAATTTGGTCATACAGTATGTCTATCAATGTAAATGTTCTTGAGGAAAGGAGTGGAGATGTATCATGTATCAATGTATCATCTCCTGCCAAATGTTGGAGTAAAACAAAATGGAGCTACTTGTACCCTTAATGAGTTAGTCTCAGTTTGCAGGTGCCTTTGCTTCTCTTTAGTTTGAACAGGGCAAGGACCTTAAACACAACCTGCAAGGGTGTTTATTGCCAGAGCTCATGCATAGAGAGAGTCAGTGAATTGAGACCCAGGAACACAATATCGCCCATCCTTGCTCTGAAAGGATGATGTGACGAAGTAACAGAAAACGAAAGGTGCTAAGAGGAATTTATGAAACGTGCTATGAACATCATACAGACAGTAGCCTCAGGGCTCTCTAACCCCCCCTCAGTCAAAAGCCAAATTGGCCAATGAATTGCAGGCACTGCTCTCTGCCGGAACCGGTTTTGAAGTGGATAGTATGAATGAGGACATAGGACCATCAGTCCAAAGTGGATCTGACTCCATTTTGGATGACATGGATGAATGTAATAGTCCATCTGGACCCACTGTAAGAAGTGTACAGAAAGCTTCCCTGCACCTCTGTTGAAGCCTTACAGTAATACTTGTTTACCATGATCCCCTGTTTCCCAACCCCCCTTACTAAAGTGCCAGAGTGGATCTTTATTGTAATGCGAAAGTCAACCTAAGCCCTCAGTGGCTGTTCATTTCAAAGCTGAGAAGCGAAAAAGCTTTCATTTAAGCTGATTAACAATAAAAGAAAGAGGGAGAAAAAACAACAATGGCCTGAGAATTGAATAACTTGTAAACTTTAGATTTAGGGGGTATGGAGGGGACGAGTTGGGTTTGGGAGTGAGAGGTATGCAAAGTGCACAGCCCAGATTGAAATTCAATCCCCTTTCCATTCTTCCATTCTCACTGTTTTAATGGTCGTCAGAAATGGCCTTGTCTGCCTGCCTGCCTACCTGCCTGCCTGCCTGCCTGCCTGCCTGCCTGCCTGCCTGCCTGCCTGCCTGCCTGGCCCATCCACACTTGGTTGATTGGGGTCACACTCTCCTGCAATATTTACTCAGCATAAATAAAACACACAGGGACCCACTGGGAAAAACCACCTAGCAAATACCCTTTTACTGAGTGATATAGCTACCTCGCACACTCTGAGTGACTTTAATTGAAAATGACCATTATTATGTATTGAGCGCAACCAAAAGCTTGAGGAGCTGACTGAGTACGGCCTTTCCAGCACACTCGCCCCCAGGCAAAGCTTTGTATTGTCTGTGTATGGATGTCAACTGTAACAGACTCCTGATAGACATGAGACCCTGCTATTGGGGTTAATAAGCCTGGACAAGACTAGAACATTCTCTTTTCACTCTAAGGTATTAATGTGTTCTTAGAGATTTGTTCTGATTCTGAAGTCTTGGTTTGGAAATTATGTTATGAGAGAGATTAACATCCACAGGATTTCAGGAGCAATTCTTAGCTGGTGATATAATTGCACAGTGCATTGAGTGCAAGCTCATCAACCAGACGGTAGTGTGTACTGTTTGTGTCCTACATCTCCATTCTCTACACCAGCCGCCGTTGTGAAACATCAGCATTGCCCCCTGCTGGCCTAATGTGGCATTGAGGAAACTGCAATATGCTAAAATAAATATATATCTTCCTCATAAAATCTTGAGTCAGCTTGAGTGATGCCTGACTTTGACAGCACATGTATTTTTTTTGTGAGAAGAGGATAGGGTTTGGTGTTGATGGATCACCTCACCTGGAACGATTTCAAAAAGATGTCTCCCTGGTTCTTCTGGGTTGGCGGTGAGCTCATTCACCTGACAGCCCTGCAGGGGTATGCAGCCCTTGAACAAACAAACAGAGAAGGACTTCACTGAAACACAGGAATCAGCAGCATTTGGGAATCCATCCATTCGAAACCAAAGATTAACGATACCTCAGTGAGACTCTAATCGGTTAAATCACAAATATTGATTACATCGTGATGAGAATATTAGGGTAGAAAATAGACCGAAGATCTCTATATTTATATCGATCTCTTTAATCTGAAATGTACACATTATCAAATGCAGATCAATAGTCATTTAACAACGGAATCAAGGCCTGTTAATTAGAGACTTCTCAGAAGGAAAGTCGGTCTCATTCTACCAGTCTGGTGCTGGCACTATCCCACATCAAACAAGCTGGGATCTTCCAAATGGCCAAACCAGAGGCCAAGCTGTCGCCACATTAGTCACCATGGCAACAAATTGATAGAACATTGGAGCAGGGCTAGCAGACCAGCAGCAGATCTCCCAAGTGTACAATGTGCCTTGAATACTGCCGGTGGGAACGAATGAATGAGAAGAACCAAGATGTAACTCAAGATCTGAGATTATTCTTCCTTCAGAATGAGCCTTGGAGCAAACTCTCTGGCTCTAACACCAATCCATTCCTTAATGACCTGCTCTACATGATGAGAAATGACTATAAATCGCTTTTGTGCAAATGTCCTTCCTCCAATTATAATTTCCTTTCATCTCAGTGTGAGACCTTGCTGTGTGATTTGCTTACGGTGCTCCGATTCCTATTGATTAGATGGGGAAAAAGCGTCCAGATTGACACTTCCACACATCCTGATTACCGTGCAAGGAGGTGTGTAGAGAAATCAATGCTGGCTGGATGACTATTGACAGCCTGTGATTAAAAGGTGTCAACTAACAGGTGTCATGACTCCTGACCAACATTGAGCGACGGTATCAAAATTATATTTCATGCTGATTTTCCTCCTAGGCAGGGCACGATGACAACGTAATCCATCCAGGCTAGGTCATGGTATAGAAAGTGCTTTATTTTCTATTGGCCTTTTGACCTGCGTGTCTAAGGAATGGATGAAAAACCCCAGCAAACAAGCAAAGTATTTGTGGAGAGGATCTGAACCTGTGACATTGGTTATATAGTAAGGTCCCACATTCAACCAAATAAAGGATTTCAGCTAACCTCTGTAAGAACGTGAAGAAGAGCTTAGGTGTGGATGTTCAGTACCTGTGGCTTGGTCTCCTCCTCCTCTTTGTAGAAGAAAAGCTGGTCGGAGCGCAGCACAAACCATCTCAGTTGCCAGTTCTTCATGATGCTCCTCTGTTTCTTCAGCCAGCCAGCCTTCAGAGCCCCCTCCTGGAGACTGGGGGAGGATGGGCGGCATGGGCCCCGGGACACATCTCCCATCACCATGCTCTTGGACCGGGCTGGAGAGTGGAGACACACACATACACACATGAATACAAATACACATTTAAGCAGCAGGGAGACAGGCACATGCACACAGTGTGTGTGCGCTCCAGGGTTGCCATGGTTATGCACATACCACACACACCATGACCTGTCCTGGGGCTGAGGCTGAGGCCCCCCTTCCTCCCCTGGGTAGAGGTGGCTGGAGACAGGGACGAAAGGAGAGGCCTCAGGTGATATAAGCGATGAATGTAAAGCCCCTGGAAGATAGTTATTTTGGCAGACCAATAGAACCAGGAACCTGTTTGAACTGGGATAACAAGGCCTCCTGGGATTGTCTCTGTGTTTTAGTGTAATGTGAGCTCAGTCAAGGACCATTTCAGATGCAGTTTATAGGCTACGTCTGTCAGGAGGCTCGGGAGTCACGCGCTGTCCCTGTCCCTGTATCAGTTTCTGTCTGTTCTCTATGCAACACAATTGATGAAGTGAGCTACATTATCAAGTACAGGAATCACACAATATTACTCAATATTTTTCTCAGAGAGAAGAAGGCGCCGACAGACATGGCGGCTCTGCTTCTAGCTCCTAAGCAACTTTGCAGTATTTTGTGTTTTTGTGTGTTATTTCTATTTAAATCAAATACAAGCATTTCGCTACACCCGCAAAAGCATCTGATAAATATGTGTATGTGACCAATAACATTTGATTTGAATACAGTACAACATGTGCAGAAAGTAACATCTGGTGATTACAAGTGGAAAAAACAGCATGCATTGATCATGATATTTTCCAAAATAAACTAAACCCTGAATTCAGCTTCTAGAGACCATCCTTAGAGAATAACCACTCAGCAACACATCTCACGGTGCCAAACAGCGGCAAGGCAAACAAGACAAAACTATTTGATTATCATGTATAATTTATAAGAATCAATCCGGCAGACATCCCCTCTGCTGGGCCTCCTGTGTGACACACTCAGGATCAATGCTCAGATGGCTTAGAGGCAGAAGGGGGGAATGAAAATCAATGTTTATTCAGCCTTTTCTCTCCGTCTTCTTCTTCTTCTTCTTCTTCTTCTTCTTCTTCTTCTTCTTCTTCTTCTTCTTCTTCTTCTTCTTCTTCTTCTTCTTCTTCTTCTTCTTGCGATATGGGATGGGGATGGATGGCCAGGAGTTTCTCACATTGTCAGAGAAAACTCATGACCCTAAGGATGGAGAATGCTATAGTATAGATGCAGACGCCCTGAAAAGACACTTCCCGACATCTCCCCGGCACCACCCACCATGTTTAATTGGAATGAATCGATAGTTCAAACTGTTCATTCATTTACAGTCATTGGGTCTGTGGTTGTGGGCTGGGCTGTGGCACAACATAGCATGGCCACTATAGCCTAGTCATCATGGTCCCCCTCCACTCCTACCTCCATGGCTGCCTGGCTCCACTCCTAATGGGTTAAACTCACAAGAGGAACATGGGCCGTATATCACATTAACCATCTCTCTCTCCGTCTACAACCATCCCTCTCTGCCTGCGTCACTGTGTCTGGCTGCACTGCTGGCCCCACTCAATCACAGTCCTGTGTTCTACCCTGGAAGCCTTATTAGAGTAAGTGCATACTGTACACTCAAGAGTCCTGGAGGGACTGTAAGCACGGTTAGTAGAGTCTCGTTTGAGCTCTTTTGTTCTAATATTTTAATTGGTGTATTGTGAGATACAATGGACTCTATTAAATCTGTTGAAAGCTGATGCGTTACAGATTCCGCGCTAGAAATGTTAAGGTAATTTCCGATTGAGCCGACTTATGCAGCGTTTACCGTGAATACAGTCTCCACTAAAGCAGGAACATTGCCTTTCAATTTAATTCATGCTGTAAAGCTGAACTTCTAATCCACTTAATGTGGATTAAATAGAACCCAAATATCGAATAACAATATTGTCTTAATTGGAACTAAAATGAGAAAGTATTTCATTACTGTAGTCATTATTCCCTCATTACGGACAGATGTATTACATCAGTGGTGTTTCAGGACACAGTGGCGTTGTGGGTTTTCTAAACGGACATTTGGGGGAAGCCTCATGAGTCTTGTTTTCCAGTTTCCACACTGCCCTTTCAAATTCGTCTCCACAGGAAGAAACCAACTAGGTCCAAGAGAAATAAAGGAATGATTTGTAAATGTTGCCATAGTAATGTAATGTACTGTAGTTCGCACCAGCTGTTGCAATCCGTGGGCGCATTGGAATACACTGCCCAATTATCTGAGTCAGTGTATGAATGTGTGTGTGTGTGTGTGTGTGTGTGTGTGTGTGTGTGTGTGTGTGTGTGTGTGTGTGTGTTTGTAGGCCAAATGCTACACTGAGCCAGTTTGGACATTTCTCCTCACAGTGATTCATACCTTCCCTGTGTTGTCATGGGTGTAGCTACAATGTGGTCTCACTCAATCTGTAACATTGAGACTGTTGTGGAAGTGAACATTTTCACAAAATACTAGCAATTCATTTAGCTAAGGAGTGTGCGTTCATAGTATTTATTTCCATGTTTACGGTTAAGTAAATGGATGATTCACTCTCCTAGTAGCTCAGGGATTCAAACCCACACATGCTATCCCCTCCATATGATCTATAGTTATCTTCAATGAACGATTTAGTAGATTGGTGGACCTCCTCCTGATTCTATCTATCATGTACCCCCTGACCCTAGAGAATAGTCTGCCAAGGATGTGCATCATGAGTAATGTTTATTGTGTATAAGCTTTATTAATACCATCAATCAATGAGCTAATGTCTAAAAGCATGATATCATGCCAGCTAAGATGTGCTCTATATAACCTGTTTATTTAGCATGTTTCAATGTGCTGCTACTAGCGTATGGTATATATGTCTAACCCATAGTAATGACATATTGTATGATTTAATCCATAGCAGAGCCATGTATTTAGAGAGTTGAGACATTGAGGTTTCTGCATTATGATGCATTTACATGCCACTGCAACATTCTATGGCAGCCATGTTAGTGCCCCATTAACATTACATGGGGAATATAATGTCTATAATGAGCATTATGAGCATTTACATGCCACTGCAACATTCTATGGCAGCCATGTTAGTGCCCCATTAACATTACATGGGGAATATAATGTCTATAATGAGCATTATGAGCATTTACATGCCACTGCAACATTCTATGGCAGCCATGTTAGCGCCCCATTAACATTACATGGGGAATACAATGTCTAGAATGAGCATTATGATGCAGCCATGTTAGCTAAATACATGACTCTGATCCATAGTAATTACATAGACTAAGTGTGGCTGTTTTCCTGTTGATCATACCTACCTTATGATGTTTCAACGTGAAACTCAAGCCAGAGATAGTCATCATGGCCATAGAGAAATATGACTGCATGATTGCATTGCACACACGCATACTATAGCCTATGATATCCAGTCACCATTGTTAATAATGCACTTTTGAGCTGTGTATTCATCAACACACGGTATGGATGTATAGCCACAAGATTAATTCCCTGGCTCTTTTTGTACAAGCATGGAATCCATTTTGAGAAATTCAATTTCATGAATCTGGTTGCTGTGTGATTTATGATGCATGGGAAGGAGCTGGTAGAGTTACAGGTGCATCATTTCCACTGACTCTATCTGCGGTTGATGAATGTATTAACCCATTGAGAAACAGTGGAGTGTTTGCGTTGCTGGAGAAACTGTAGTAGGCGCCACTCGGATTGGTGGTGGGGGGGTATACTGGTGTGTGTGTACTGTGTGTGTGCGTGTGTGTGTGTGTGTGTGTGTGTGTGTGTGTGTGTGTGTGTGTGTGTGTGTGTGTACTACTGTGCCTGTAGCTCAGCTGTCAGTAATGTCCATGTGTAGTTTAGTACAGTAGTGGGATCTCTTCAAATACATGGTGATGAGGAGAGTGAAACAGCTGTGATGTGGGCTATTTAATGACGTTTCCATGGACCAGGAAATAGATTTCTATGGACCAGGAATTGAAATCGGATTTTTTCATGTGTTTTGTTGAATGAATAAAAAGAAGCAATTACGTTCCAATTACAAAATCTATGCAGAGAATGTGTGTATCTTAGAACCACAAAGCTAATTGAATCTATTTAATTCATCCATTTTGTTTCTCATAAACTCTCAATTTGATCTTATTTCAGAGATAATAAGAGAATACAGACAACAAAGTGACCTATCCCTGTATCCTGTGATATTTACCCTTTCACATTTACTATCGAAACACACCTGCATCATTTTGACGTTCACCATTCAATGCCGCAAAAGCAGCAACTGACAGACAAGCGTCTGGTCAGCATTATCAGGATGAACAGGAGATGATGATGTCATTCACAGCATCGTAGTAGAACGATCTGTGTGTACCGCCCATGTGCTCCATTCAGATATGTAGTAGTAGTAGTATGGTTAGAGAAAAATACATTGCTCTCGGCTCTCTCACCTCTCCTGGTCTGTCTAATCTTGGGACTCAGCATGGCTGTCATCGCTGGAAGACCACACTCTCCCCTCTGGGCATGTTCATCCGTCCGTCCGTTCGGCACCCCACCCCTCTCGTTCTCGTTCTCTGTCACGCTCTCTCAACACACCATCCTCTCCTCTGTGCTGCCTCTCCTCTATTCTCTCCTCTCTCCCACTGACGTTCTGCAGTAGGCAACAGCAGCAGCAGCAACAGCAGGCTAGGGGGCTGGGGCTGATGCTGAGGGGGAGGGATCCTTCCTCCTCGCACACACTCAATGTCCTCCACCCCTCCCTGCTGCATTATTCATCTCCAGGGCGACCACGCCGGTAGGGAGGGTGGAGGGAGGGGGGATCTCATCCCATATTACTACACCACACTGACCAGTAAACGCCGGTGTGTGATTAGAATGCCCTTCCAAGCGCAGGCTTCACTGGGGCTGAAACACACAAGGAGCAGAGCTGCTGTTCTCTCTCTCTCTCTTCCTCTCTCTCTGGCTGTCAGCCACCATCTTAATCGTCTACAGCCGCGTGTTTCTCTGTTTTTCACAAATGTTCATTTTCTCTTTCTCTTCTGTCTGTGTTGCTTTTCTACCTCTCTCATTCTCCCTGTGTTCTCCCTTTTCTACATCTCTCTCTCTAGATCTCTGTATATTATCGCTCTCTCTCTCCCACCCTCCCTCCCTCTCTCTCCCTCTCTCCTCCTCTTCATCCTCCTCC